CCAAAATTTAAAGTTGTTGTGGTTACTCCTGAAATGCTGGAAGAGGGTGAACTTATTAATGCATTATATCAGTTGATTGAGAAAGAGAAGCTTGAAAGAATTGTGTTTGATGAGGCACATACTATTGTCAGTTGGGGAAATACATTTCGCCCTGTTTATAAACAAGTGTGCGAGAAGCTGGCTAATATCATAGTTCCCAAGTTATTACTGAGTGCAACAGTAACTGGTAAGCTAGAGGCTGCACTGAAAACGATTTTCAGTGCTTTAACTGCTCTGAGAACATCAGTTTTTCGGGAAAACCTTTTCTTAGAAGTGAAAGAACGAACAAACAAGTTTTACGATGAAGTGAAGGATTTTATTTTGGAACATAAAAATGAAAGTGGGATTATATATTGTGTTTTGCCAAAAGGTGTTGCAACAGTTCATGCAGAACTTTTGAAAAGGGGAGTGGAATCTGTTAAATATCATGGGCAGTTATCTGAAGATGTTCGAGTGAGTAACCATACCAAATGGTTCAACGATGAGTGTCATGTTATTGTTGCAAATTCGTCATTTGGAATGGGGATTGACAAAAAAGATGTCTGATACATTATCCATGCACGCATGCTGACAAGCTTAGAAGAGTATTATCAACAATGCGGACGTGCAGGTCGAGATGAATTGCCCTCGAAGTGTATTTTATTCTACAGTTATGGTGACAAAAATGCCCTTGTCAAGCTTTTTCAAAGAGAAGCAGACCCAAGGAAGACCCAGTGCAATGTCGTCACAGAAGTCTTATGATTTTCTTTGGTGAAAGTCTACAGGACTTCATGTGTGGAGTAATTTGGGATAATTGTTGCAACCGTGGTGAATTCTATGTCACAGATGGGACATCAGATGCTTTGAAGGTGGTCCAGGCAATAGTAGAATTGACAGGACGTGTATTTACATGCAACACTTTGAAACTTTTTTGGCAAGAAGTCTGCAAAAAATTGGATGTGTTGTCAAATTTTGGTTGCCTTGAAAAACGTTTCATACCAACAGTTTTACTGGACAAGTTTTTGCATAGCCTTATATATTTTGGTATTTTAGCAGAAATACCACAGAAAAAAGGTAGAAGTCTTTACTTACAACTTGTTTTAGGTCCCAAAGCACATGACCTTCTAGCTCTGAGAGTAACTGTATCTTGGTATGAAAAATCTTAATAGATTGTAATACTTTATGTTAAAATGGTGCAAGTTCAAAGTACTTGTATCCAGTGGCCAAGACAGCCCGACAATTTGGTCATGCTATGCAAATTTTAAATCATTCATTTCTTTGGAAACTGATTGTTTTCAGTCTATGATCACAGAAATTTTTTGCATAGCATGACCAAATATATTAGTAAGTGTAAATAGATCACATTTCATTTTTAAATAAATTGTACATTTGTCTTTACCATGTTAAACAAACTAAATCTTTACATCAGAAAAACTATCACATTATCTACAGTATCTTCAAGGTAATTTCATGCAACAAATCTGGATAGTCAGTATCATGTGCATATTTTGCATCTCAGAAATCAACTATGTCACAGTTTATAACATTTCAATTGGAAACTTTCTGTGTAAAAATGGTACAAATTCCTCACTTGCTTTCTTCGCCCCTTTAGATAGAGCATCTATACACTTTTTGGGTACAGTTTGCCCTTCCTTGACTGTCTTACCAGCCCACGAGTATTGATGAACATCTTTTCTCTGTTCGCATTCAAACCATCTTTCTTTAATTACAAACTGAGCTACTTTGATTTGATCATACAAAGATGATGGCTTCTTATGTTTTCTTGTATGATGAATATCAAATGCTTCCTTTGCCTTGTACATCTTGCAATTCATTTCCAGTAGGTTAACACTACATGACATTAGTTCAACCATAGAAAATGAACTTTGAGCACTTGTAAACTGCTTGACTGGTCTAACAAGGTAGTCTTCAACCCACTCGTCCCCAGCCAGTTGCTTTCCTTGCTTACCTTCAAGATTAACAGTTTTATTTCTCTGGTACATAAGACGATACGCATATGGCCATTTGGCAGTAGCATTGACAATGTGTGTAAATGCCTCATCTCTATAATTTATTTTACCCATTTGGCAAAAAAGAGCAGGGCAGAACATCCAGACACCTTCAATTGCATGGCCATTTCCATGCCTAATAAAAAAAAAATAACCACTTTACCAAAAGACTTGTTTGTATTTATAGTATATGCTGTTATTAATAAGATTAATACAAGTTAAAACATGAGCAGCCGACCTCTATCTGATATACAGACTTCACTTGAGCCAAAGGCAAGAGTTTGTATATCAGATAAAGATTGGAAGCGATATTGGAATGCTTAAAAAAAATGACCCATCTTATGAGTTCATTGGCAAAGTAATTTTAAAAATATACATTGTCATGGCCGAGAAAATCAAAGCAGAAGTTTATGTAAATCCGGACAAATTTTTATCCAATTTGCGAACATTGATTAAACATTCATTTCGTTTCTATTTCCTCATAATGAGTTTTTTAATAACAGATATAATCTTGAAACTGCTGTGTCAATTTTTCATTTGGTTAAATGTAAATATTCTGTAAAATGCATGGTTAACCCACTAAGTTGCATCGCACCATGAAGCACCCTACTTTAGTATCTTTCTCTGTCTAATGCCAGAATATTTTACTCGTCAAGGGGAGAGTGCTTGCGTTCAATAAGTTAACATACAAAAGTTACTTCAAAACAATTGCAACGCTTTCTGTTTAACAGTTTGTGCATAGCCTGCGTGCAGCCTGACTTTAAATGGGGAGCTCCATTTAAAGTCAGGCTGCACGCAGGCTATTTTTGCATAAATATGTTACAATTTTCTCTGCTTTCCCACCTAAATAATATTCAATTTGTGTAAAGCAGCACTATTTAGTAAACCAAATATTGAGTCGAATTCACTAGTCGGGCGGACATTTATTTTGGTCAATTGCTTTATGTGTGTAGGTCAAATAGGAAATTTGTCATGTCTTACAACAGGATTTGTCCCAGATTGAAGCAGTGGGTTCAATTGCCAAATTCTACACAAAAATCAAATTACATACCTCACAGATTCCTTATACCATCTTGTTATTGGCATTAACTGGTTGACAACTTGGGATTGATATTTAAATATGGCATCCTGTTCCTCTTGTTGCTTCACCCATACTTTAAATCTATCAATCAATATTTTGTTATGGGATTTCGTGTCTTTAAAACACTGATCCAACTCGGATGCATCAGGAAAGCAGGGTGACTTTCGGAAAGACTTGATCATGGCAATTGAAAGACCATCGTCATAATCCAAAAGTGCCTCCTCGTTGTTGTTATAGTTGTTGTCCTTGAACTTAGACTTGAATGATGATGGATTAACAGTTGGCCTTTTCATTATGTTTTCCACTACATGCCAAAATCCCCCTGGACCAGCAATGCGTGCAATACATTCATTTACATATCCACGACAATGGAAATCTCCTCCACCAGGTGTGTGGCATTCATACACATCTGGGCATTGGTTTGCACAGCCTTGTACAAGTACAGTGTTTTTTTGGTCACCAACGTTGATATTTAATTTTCTTGCAACATTTGAGGGCTTGCTAGTGCTACTAGTTTCCATATCTGTGCTTTCGTCTGAAATTGGTTTATTAAAATTTGATTTCATATGATTAATAATTTCTTCTTCTTCTCTAATTTTTTGCTCAATCAACTCGATCATAAGTTCTTCTTTCTTAACTTTAGCAATCTCTGTGGGGGGAATAGTGTCAAGAAAAAAACTGCTCACGAACTGATGCACCACAGTCAAGTAGAACTTTGGCAGTAACTGTATGACCCATATGCAGCGCTAGGGTTAAAGGTGTTTGTCCGATGCCGTCTTTTAAACTTATTGGACAGCCAGAATACACGAGACAGCGAACAAGTCGAGTATTGCCGTTCAGTGACGCCACATGAAGCACGCTTCTTTCGCATTGATCTCGTGCTGGAAACCATGTTGCTTTCAGCAAATTAATTCTTTCAGTTAAATACATATTGCTGTTACTTACTGATGCAATATCTCGCAGTATCCCCAACACACATTTGAAACGTTTATCTAGTTCTTTGTTTTTTTAATGTCTATTTTACATATTAATTGCGGCCAATCTAGATTACCATATTCATGAGATATTGCCGCCATGTTTTCAATAGTATAGTCAGGGGGGGCTTATTGCTATGGCTTATTCCTTCGCATTCGATGACGTAATTACTCATCAAAATCCTTTGTGATGGCGTTAATACGAGGAACAATTTGCAACGACAACTCGCAATGCAAATGGCAGTCATTCGAAATTTTATTGGTTCAACATTCTCGAATTGTCGTTGAGAACTCTTCCGTGTAACATCTCCTTAATCCATTTCTCACCATCTGTCAGAGGGCATTTCCCTGTATAATTTAATTTTGTCAAGATAGCCAATCTTCGCCCTTTGAGATTGGTCATGGTACACTATATGCCACAATTTTGGGAAAAAATCGCAAAATTATCACGTCAATAAGTTTGACATGTTGATGACTCAACAGCCAGCCTTTTAGTATCTATATACTATTTCACCCAATGGTCATGGCAAGATTAGTATTTATGAAATTATGTAGTTTTATACATGCTCAAACATAATTCAGTTTCTTATGATATGTATTATTCAGCATACAGCATGTTAGGCAGAATACACCTTTTTGATATGGCACGAGTAAATTGTCTTTCGCCTTAATGAAACGTCCTCAGATGGGTTTGAGATCGCTTTAATTTGGACCAACCTCAAAGTGTGCTAAGTGTCAAAAGGCTCCTAGGCTAACGGTTCGAATGAAAGTAAAGAAATATTAGCATGTGATTTTGTACAAATGAAAAGAACCCAGAAGATAATATAATGAATAATAACTTTTATTTATATTTAATCTTCTTCGCAATCACTGGAAAGGTCATCTTCGACTGTAGTAAGTACTTCAGCTGACTCTGTGTCATATGTGCTTTCACCAAGTTTTTCAGTCTCTCCCCTCAAAATGCTTTCACACTGCCGTTGCTGTTTTTGATGTTGTTCCAAACTCTTCAAAAAGGCAAAACGCTCATACGCTCTGTTTATGTGGAATTCCTTAGTACAACTTTTAAGATGGATGAACTTGGATTTTTTTTCGCTTTTAAATTTAAATTACTCCGCAAACAGGTCCAAATTGCTCGCAACACCAACTGTCTTGCACTGATTTTCGTGCGATATTGGAAGAGGAAATATCTTTGTCTTCTTCGTAGCACGATCAGGGAAGTCTTCTTCTATCTGTGGGATGTTGATTTTAAATTGCTTAGCATCAACTTGTTGATTCACCTTCGACTCAGCAGAATCAGACATTTCTCGTAGATGATCACTGGATGAGGATTGGATTTGCTCCGCCGTTTCAGGAAAGACGTTTAAAGCTAAATCCATTTTACGCAACAAATTTCGCTCTTGGTACGAGGTCCATTTCTTGTTCAGTTCTGCATGGCTCTCTAACGGAAAAACATTGACAGGTTAATGTAACTGTAATATACCGTGTGTATCGAATGCTCTTCGAATGGAAATTATCGGTCGAAATCAAATTATACGGAAATGAGTGCCAAACTATGCGCATGAAGGTCTCAACCTGACGTGAACATGTTATTGTGCGTAAAAACTTGATTAAACGATTCGATTTTTACAAAGCAATTAAGATGAGTTCGTTGGCTTTGATATGGGATCTTAATCTTTATATGGCATCTTTTACTGAAAATAACACGTGGGAATCGTATTTGGGAATTGGGAATTGAATGTAAAACTTTTGAAAGTGACTCCCAAGTGGATTTCAAATTTTAATTTCAAGTACCCTATGCTATACTCCGTAGTCCATCGTAATCGTAATTTCAGATTCATTAAAATTTAACGTGCTGTTCTATTTAATTCATCTACAATTCTATTATCTTCACATTTTCTGTTTTTAAAACATTTCGTGACGTATTGTTTGTCAGTACAAGTAGTTCCAGAACAGCAGTTATGGTTGCCAATGCATTCTTAATATCTACGAGCAATTGCTGGAAAAGGAGTGGATTGAACACTTCGCTTATGTCTTTCCTCTTGTTTTCTTGTATCTCGAGGTTGAATATTTGCTTCGCTTGATTTACTTCAGATTTAATAGCATTTTTTTCTGACAATGACAACAGCCCACCTAAGAAACTCCCACTTGAAATAATTTTGTGCTGCGTTGCTATTACATGCTCTTGTAGTTTAATGATGTCTTGAACATTAGCATCATATTCATTCAAGGATTTCTTGGCACTATCTGCATCACAAGTTTTACTTTTTTCATCACTTGTTATTCCTGGTGACTCCATTACGTCTTCCAGATTTGCTGTTTGAACTACTAACTCATGCATACACATGAAATCATCAGAACCTACAAAACATGAATGTTCATTGAGTTGATTTAGAAGTAGATTTTCGGAATTAGATTTTCGTGGAGCAAGAATTCATCATCATTTTGTATAGCATTGTTTCTACGTTCTTGCAAAAAAATTTCAAATGATATTATATTAATATTATTATTACTTGTAGAAGCAAGTTGTGCAGCAACTTCCCATCTGTTTTAACATTCTCAAAGCATTCATAATCAATACCTATAATAATTGTAAAAGATAATCAAAATAAATATTGATCTGGAAAGAAAAGTTGAAACTTACAGTGTCATTGTAGCAGTCATCCAAGGTTGGAATGAAACAGTCATTTTAACAAAGGTTTAGCACAACAGAAATTCAAATATTTGCATCATTAGCCTCATTTCTGCGAACCATAGCTTTAGACACTTTTATGGTTTGGGGATCAATGAAATCATTAAGCCAAATCAAGAAGTATTCATTGACTGTATGCCAGGGAAGGAGATGGAAAACAATAAGGTTTGGTTCTTCCTTGTAGGGTCATGAGAATTTTGCTGTTGCCAAAAGCAAATTGCATATTTAAAGGTTGCTAGGACATAGAATGCTGCCTCCAACTAATCCATACCATACATGCATAATGAAAACTCCCCTGTGGAAGCAAATATTTGCATTACGATGTAGGACAAACAAGAATCCAATAAGCAAAAGTAACAAGTGTGTAAGCATTCTGTCACTTGATTTCTTGGGTATTTGTTATGTCATTTATATACATACTTCTCCTCACTTTACTTCGAGGCCTCACAATACGATCATTCTGTTGTATATCTGTAAAAGAATTGAGAACTAAATATACCAACATTTGTTTTGGCTGTGTATTTTATAAATGCAATTAACTATCAACGTAATCCTTTGGGAAAAATTATTATGTTTAATCTGTTAAGGTGCAAGACTCTCCCCTTGACAAGTAAAATCGGCTGGCATTAGACAGACACAGGAGGGGGGGTTGGCTTATTGCTGAGTGAAAGAATAAGGTGCATTGTTGCTTAAAGGGTTAACAATACACATTGCCAGATTGTTTTGTTAACCCATTAAAGTGTGAGACTCTCCCCTTACGCAGCAATACACCCAAATGCGCCCTACTTTATTTTTTTACTATGTCTAATGCTGGACTATTTTACTCGCCAATGGGAGGGTCTTGCACTCCAATGGGTAAAGGGTTAATATAACACTACTACAGTGCTGGCACTGTGTGTAAGATTTTCATAGTTTTTGTATTTTCATAAGACCCAACACCTTCCTCCTTTTTGTGAGAATCAGAAAAAATCATCTTCCATTGGAAAGAATGAAATAACACAAAATGGCTCATTGTATTTAAAGCTGCCAGACATATAGTCTGCTAAATCTTGCAACACACTTTGCACTGAATGATTAGCTAAAAGTAATACTACTAAATGACTTTTGGTGATATTGGTAATATCTGAAATAAATGAAATAATTTCATAAAAAAAAACTTTAGCACAATAAATACCTTCTTCAATCAATTCATCAGTATCAATGAACATTAGCCCTCGATAATATGCCCTTGAAAAAAAGGAAATAATTGACACCGACATACAATAGATTTCAAATTGTTTTTACTTTCAAAAGTTTGTAATTCCATGTACATGTAAAGGAGCATAGAGGAGAATTAGACAGAGTATCCCCCATTCAGGTGAATTTTACACCCTACTCATATACACAATACACAGTGTGCAGATCATTTCTGGAACAAACTCGGCAAATTTTTATCAGTTTCGCTGGTATAATTTCACTGTCAGAAACTATGGTAAATGAGACTAGCACATACACAGTATGGGCTACTGTACATTGCTTTACATAGGAATATACTACATAGCTTTTATTTTGAAACTTTCAATACCCTTACGAAAAATTCCTATAGGAATTCCTTTAAGAATTTGTATAGGAATCTTTTAGGAATTCCTATAGGATATTGTATAGGATTTTCGGACTTTTCCAATAGGAATTCTTACAGGAATTTTGATAGGATTTCCTAAAGGAATTCCTATAGAATCCAAAAATAATTCTTATAGAATCCTAAAGAATTCCTATAGGAATTCCTTTAGTATTCTATAGGAAATCCTTTAGGATTCTATTGGAATTCGTTTAGGATTCCATAAAAAATCCTTTAGGATTATATAGGAATTCCTTTAGGATTCTATAGGGATTCCTTTAGGATTGTATAGGAATTCCTTTTTGATTCTAAAGGAATTTCTATACACTCCTAAACGAATTCATATACAATCCTAAAGGAATTCCTATACTCTATAGGATTATTATAAGGAATTCCTATTTGAATGTCCTGGCACTAAACTGAATGCAAAGATGAGCAAATTATTGACAGTGCGCATATATTATAAATATTGACTTTATTTACAAATTAAAATATCAGTTTGTAAAGAACACAGTTTTTGTTTTTTGGGGCAACAAAAATAAACTATAGTTTTTTAAGCCAAAACCTATAGTTTTAAAAAGCTATAGTATTTTGGAACAAAAACATAGTTATGAAAACTATAGT